AAAAAAAAAAAGAAATCAATTGCAAAAGACCACATGTTACATTTACAATTATATTATATCAAATGTCCAGAATAGGTAAATCTATAGAGTTAAAGTAGATTTGTGGTTGCCTGGGGGCAACCTGGGTGACTGCTAATGAGTACAGTATTTCTTTGGAGGAGAATGAAAATGTCTAAAATTAGATTGTGGTGATGTTTGCTCAAACCTGTAAACTTACTAAACATTGACTTTTACCCTATATAAAGGCAAATAGTATGGTATGTGAATATATATCAATAAAGCTAAAAAAGAAAAAAAAAAATAATTACATCTATCAAATTAAACTATTTTCTTCTCTTTTTTGTCTCTCTTTTTTGCTTTAAGGTATATATATATTAATATATTAATATATATATATATATTTCACTACCACTGCTCAGTATTCCCAAAACTTAGTAGTTTAAAAAACACAATTTATCGTTTCTAATAGTTTAAGGGAGTCAGGAAAATAGGAGCAGCCCAGTCTCTTATGAGATTACAGTAATGTCTAGTGGGGTTGTAACTTCATGAGAAGTTTGAATGGAACTGGATAATCTACTTCCAAGATGGCTCACTCACATCGTTGTTGGCTGGAGGCCTCAGTTTCTTATTGGCTATTGATAAGAAGCATAGGTTCCTCACTACATGGACCTCTCCATAACGCTGCCTGAGTGTCCTCAAGATGAGGAAGATAGCTTCCTACGGAGAAAGCAATCTGACAGAGAGAGATCAAGGAGGAAGCCACAAAGTATTTATGACCAACTTTCAGAAGTCTCACACTTCTGCCACATTCTATGCATTAGAAATGATTCATGCTGATGTATGGCAGAAACCAATACAATATTGTAAAGCAATTATCCTTTAATTAAAAATAAATAAATTAATAAAAAAAGAGTGAGTCACTAAGTGCAACCCACTCTCAAGAAGAGGGAAATTAGGCTCTGTGTTTGAAGGGAGAAGTATCAAAGAATTTGTGGACCTACTTTAAAACAATCACAATTAGTATTTGCATGGTACATTTTTTTCATACTTTTACATCAAGACTTCACATTTTCTTATATTTTAGGTTTGGCTCATAGTAAGCAAAAAACACAGATATCATATGCCACTATATCATCCTTTGAATTTCAATTGGAGCACTTATTTAATTTTTATTCAATGTAATTATTGACATGCCTGAGTGCTAAGTCACTTCAGTCATGTCCGACTCTGCGACCCCATGGACTCAAGCCGGTCAGGCTCCTCTGTCCATGGGATTCTCCAAGCAAGATTACTGGAGTGGGTTACATTTCCTTCTGCATAGGATCTTTCTGATCGAGGGATTGAACCCACATCTCTTATGTCCCCTGCATTGGCTGGCGGGTTCTTTACCACTAGTGCCACTGAAATATTTGAGTTTAAATCTCTGGAATTGTCACCCTTCTTACCTTAGTAAGATGACCTGAAGCTAGGCTTTAGTCCCTGTGATGACTCTCTACTTCTGACACCATTGTTCCTCAGGAGTCTCTATTGAAAACTCCAACTGTTTTCTCATGAGAGTCAGTTGAAAGTTTTGTTTATTTTTAGGCTCCTCAGTATCTTCTTTCAGAACTAGCAGATACTGGTGGGGAAAGAGTCCCCAAGGTGAACTTACTTCTGTTAACCTTAAACCTTTCTTTTCTGTCATGCTGTCCCTCTAATTCTTCATTGTCTTATTGGTTCTCCAGAACATTCAAGCAGAATACTTAAAAAAAAAAAAAAAAACCCCAAACTACCTTCTAGTTGTTTGTTTGGGGAGGTTGGTTTGAATTTCTTAGTTTGCCTTCATCAGAAGTGAGAAAAGTCATTTAAGTTTTACAAATGGTAAAGTATTATTATTATTCCATTTTATTGGTGAGGGAACTAGTCTCAGACAAGCCAAGTAAATTGTTCAAAGTTCCATTTAGAAAGTGTTAAACTTAGAACTGGAACTTGTATCTTTCTGTCTCTAAAAAAAACTCATGCTATTTATATTAGCTAAAAGCAATTTTGGCTAATATCCTCTAAGTAGAACACACTATAAGATTTATTACTACCATACTTTTCATCAATTATAAATGTATATTTGCAAATTGGAAGTATTTCTGTTTTATAGCAGTCTTTAATTAATTTCACTAAAATATAGTTAGTTTGAGTATCTTAAGTATTTTGATTTACAATCATATAATTCCTTACTGGTACTGACTAGCAATCAGTATTTTATAAAATAATGGTACTTTAACATGGTAGTCAAATATAACCCAACAAGTAGTTATTTTTAAAATATAAGTTGAATCTTAATTTTTGAATCTCCTCATTGTTGTTTCTTTGTTCCTTATCTAGGAGTCATTTTAAAGAAATTCAGTCTTGCTTCAAATCTCATTTATCATCTGTTAAAATTCCACTGCAAAACAAGAATTCCTTTTTGGAATTCCATTTATGGAATTCATTTATTAATATGGATTTATTGGAATTTATGGAATTTTATGAATTTATGGAATTTATGAACTTTATAAATTTATAATTTTATGAATTTATGAAATTTATGAATTTTGTGAAATTTACAAATTTTATGAATTTTGTGAATTTCATTAAATTTATGTATTTTTATTAATTTTATTAAATTTATGAATTTTGTGAATTTTATTAAATTTATGAATTTTGTGAATTTTATTAAATTTATGAGTTTTATTAAATTTATTAAATTTATTAATTTTATGAATTTTATTAAGTTTATGAATTTTGTGAATATTATGAATTTTGTGAATTTTATGAATTTTATTAAATTTATGAATTTTATGAAATTTATTAAATTTATGAATTTTATTAAATTTATGAGTTTTATTAAATTTATTAAATTTATTAATTTTATGAATTTTATTAAGTTTATGAATTTTGTGAATATTATGAATTTTGTGAATTTTATGAATTTTATTAAATTTATGAATTTTGTGAAATTTATTAAATTTATGAATTTTATTAAATTTATGAGTTTTATTAAATTTATTAAATTTATTAATTTTATGAATTTTATTAAGTTTATGAATTTTGTGAATATTATGAATTTTGTGAATTTTATGAATTTTATTAAATTTATGAATTTTGTGAAATTTATTAAATTTATGAATTTTATTAAATTTATGAGTTTTATTAAATTTATTAAATTTATTAATTTTATGAATTTTATTAAGTTTATGAATTTTGTGAATATTATGAATTTTGTGAATTTTATGAATTTTATTAAATTTATGAATTTTGTGAAATTTATTAAATTTATGAATTTTATTAAATTTATGAGTTTTATTAAATTTATTAAATTTATTAATTTTATGAATTTTATTAAGTTTATGAATTTTGTGAATATTATGAATTTTGTGAATTTTATGAATTTTATTAAATTTATGAATTTTGTGAAATTTATTAATTTTATTAAATTTATGAATTTTGTGAATTTTATGAAAAAAAAAAAAAAAAGAATGTGTGGGTAGAGATAGTCAACTTAGTGTTTGTACTCAGTTGAGCTAGTTTGGATTCTGAACATGGGAGCTCCCTTTTCAATTAGACAAGGAAGACCAAGTAGATGAGAACACGGGTTCAATTTGGAGGTAAATGTATAATACTTGGAACAAATGATGGAGACATCAGGAGGATTGGGGTCATGTACCCTGCTTCTGCTGAGTGCTGTTTCTGAATGTATTTCACCATTCCTAAGATCTATAATTTTTAAACTTGGAACACCCACAATATTATCCTGTCTTACACCTGTTTGGGCTATAGTGTCATCTGTCAGACAGAGCCTATATGCTTTCAGTCTTTAAGGAATTTATCAAAAATTTTGTCTTCTAATAGTACTAATCATGTTGTGGTGTAGTACTACATTTTTAAAAGAAAATGTAGTTTTTAGTTTTAGGAATTTGGGTGGCCCATGTGCTCAATCTATCATCTTGATCTGGTCTATCCAAGTCACATTAAGATTTTGGAAAGACAAAAATGTAGCTCTTCTCTGTCAAGCAATTTAGACCCCTGAGGTAAAGTAAGAATTTTAAAAAGCAGATATTAAAATTACCTAGTCTATGACAGGAATTTTATATATGCTATTCATTCTACTTGCACAAAAATTTGAAAGGTAGGTATTGCCATCCCAGCTGTATAGAGAATAAATGTTGGTTACAAACAGCAGTGATGCATCCAAGGTCCCCCATAAGCAGCACTACGGGCCAGGAACCTTGATCTGACTGTGACCTGCTCATCTGCAGATGAAGAAACAGGCTGAACTAGATAACCAATTTGCCCTAATCAGAAGCCTCACGGCTCTCCTGCCTACTTTATTATTGCTTAAGGTTGGAGGTTATATAATTTCAGTGACACTAATATATAACAGCTTTTTAAAAATTTATTTTTGGCTGTTCTTGGTCTTTGTTACTGTGTGTGCTACTCTCAGTTGCAGCGTGCAGGCTTCTCATTACAGAGGGCTTAGTTGCTCTGCCGCATGTGGGGTCTTCCAGGATTAGGGATCAAACCCGTATCCGCCTGTAGGCGAATTCTTTACCACTGAGCCACCAGGGAAGCCCTGATTTGTTAACAATATTGTGTGAGAGATTGGTATGGCTGGTAGGGAGCTGATTAGAGATTTAAATAACATTAACCCAATTAAAGGCATCCCAAGAATGTATGGTCCTCTAACTTGGCAACAATAGTATCTCTGCTGTCTGATAAAGCTCAAGTGACATGAAGGCTAGTATGAGTGTTAACATTTTTAATGCAATTAGTCTGTGAAAATCACACATTTCTTAAGCCCCACTTTTGTGCTTCCAACTCTACTTTCTCAGCCTACAACTAATGCTTTCCTCCCCACCCCCTGCTGTTTTCCATTTTCCCGTGATTTAGAACAAATATTTGCCTTGGTAACCATTTTCCCTAGTTACTGTTGGCTGATTTTCTGCACAAAGAACTGAAAGGCATGTAACCCCAAGGGAGGCAGTTATTTTAGATTTTACAAAGAAGTCAGTTAACATTTTTCAATACTCCCTTCTTTGTCTTAAAGAAAGCTCTGGTTTTGTTTCATTTTCATCTGGAGACTTAAATGACACCAAGCAAAACCTACTTAGTTTAGATTTCCAGGTAAAATGTTTTAAATTTTAAGTTTCTACTAAAGCGTGTGGAATGGTTTTAATATTTGGGTGTTTTGTATTGCAAATATGTTTAGCACTTGAGGAAATTAGCTCTTACTAATAGATTTTTAAAGTTTAAAGCGTACATTATTTTGTTTACTTGTTTTCTTTTTTCAGGATGACTACTTCTGAACTATTTAAAACTTTATGAAATTAGGATTAAATATATTTTTATATGTTTAAATAGAATTACTTGTTCAATAGAAGTATAAGTTGGTTTGAAAATTTCATTCTTTTCTATTTTAAAGTCCTAAAGAGCATAAAGCATTAAGTAAAAATGTTTTTCATTTTAAGCCTACTAAGTGAAGTTAAAAAGGATAATAGGTATCTTGTGGCTTTGTGTAGAAGATTAAAACTGAATTTAAACCCTTCTAAAGCTTACTTAAGACAGCTGATGAACAACTTTAATGAAAAAACAAAAACAAGTTAATCAGGATTTACAGATGATATTTAATGTTGGGATAAACACAAAAAATACCAAAAAGAAAGGCAATTTTACTTGATCAAAATAATGCCTACAGTGGTTGGACCTGTGTCATAAAAGTTTACCTCTAGAAACATATTCACTCAATTATAAAGTGAATATTAAATGCAATGTGAAATTTTATAAATCACTGAAAATAACAAAGGCCTAGGCATCAATGGTAAAATTAGTATTGAGAGGCCATTTCATAAAAATTATTTAAACATTTCAGTGAGACTATTTAGAGTCTGATTTTGTTAAAATTAAGATAGCTCTGTAAATTTATCTCTGTATGTATCTATTTAGACTTCTGTATAAGCAAAAATGAGCCAATTTGGGGTGGGGGAGACAAAGAGAGAGAGGTAGGGATAATGGGAGGAGGGTGAGTTTGGGCAGTACTCTTGTTAAGAGGCTCAGGGACAACATGATGCCTGAGACACTCATTAAGTTTACCTCCAGAGCCCTTAGATCCAGAGGCCTGACTCCTCATAACTCTTACCTACCACAGAATGGAGAGCTACATATCCAACTGTCAACTGTCAAAGCAAGAAAATCTCCACATACAGATTTTATGTAGAACACAGAATTCACACTATCACAGTTCACCTCCCCTGCCACTTGGCAAATTCTACTTCTACCCTGTCTCATGGGCCAACTTTTCATATTGCTTTCCCCTGCTGCTGTTATCATTTCTTCCCAACATATTAGCTTGCTCTCTGAATTGACTTTTACAATTTCAGCTGCCAATCAGCTAGGGAATTTGCTCCTCCCTCACATTTTGCAAGTTAGTTTTTTAAAAAACTAATGTAGATTACAAAACATTGTTCTAATATAGTTTCATCTCAATGACCTACAGTAAAGGGTTTGAAATGCAGTAATTAATGTACATATATACTGAAAAAAAGATTGCATGCTGAGGTTAGTTGACATGAAAATACCTTAGAGGCTGCTATTTGTTGAGCTAAGGTAAAGTGGTGATAAGTCAGCATATGACCCAAGTACAATCTGACTAGAGGAGGATAATTCTGTTGGATGAAGTTATAAAAAGAACTACCAAGACTCAAGAGGGCAAGCTAAGCAGATATCACTTCTTTCCTCTCACCAAATACCTAGAAATAAGAGAAGATATATTACAAATAAATACACACATGGATATATAGCTATGTAGGAAATAAAAAGGGAAACCTTTGGTGAGACAGAAACCATGAGGAATCTTTCAAATACAAGGAGATTTGAATGAATTTAAAGAGGAAAAACACAGCCTTGAATAGGTATAGCAAAGAACTGAATTAAAAGAATGTATGTGGAAAAGAAAGATATCTTTTACTTGGGAGTAAAAGATCCCAAGAAAGATACATAAAGAAGGAAAAAACAAACAAAAAACCCTGTACAATATGTTAAAACTTCTGAATATTAAAAATAAGTTTAAGATCTGAAAAGAACCTCTCCAGAGAGAGGAAAAAGGATTTATTACAAAGAGATGAGAATCAGATTCAAGCTAAACTTTTCATCAATAAGAGCAGATATAAAAAACAAATGGAACAATACCTATAAAGTATTGAAGAAAAATGATTTTAAAATCATAGTTCTATTTCCAGCTAAACAAAGTAACATTTCCTGACATAAAAGAATTCAAAAAAATTTACAACTGAAAACATTCTCTTAAAGAAAGAGGATAAATTTTCAGCGAAATAATAACTAATCTGAGGGAATTTCTGCTTCTCATAATTGCAATCTAGGCAATTTAGACTGCTGAGAATTATTTTTTTTAAAAAGTAGGGAAAATAACAGGGCCAAAACTAAGATCCAAAGAGCTTTTCTTCTGGAGGTATCTGTGAAACCAAAAGAGGTGACTAAGAAGCTTAGTATAGCTTTAAAACAGCCTCTCCAAGTTATGACAAAAACAAAACTCAAGGAAAGGAGCAGGCAAGTAGCAGGGGTGGTAGGGAAAAGTGATGCTGATGAAATCACCAGGCTTTGGTTTGGGACCTAAAATATAATTATTATCTAGATATAGTGAAACTCAGCTTCAAATCATGTATTTATGACTGATGGTACACTTAATTTCATGTTTGAATGTAAATTCTTTTAGGATAAATAATACATCATTATAGGCTTCAAAGTATTTCCATAATTTTTCATATGTAATGGATGGCAGTCAAATGCCATCAGGCATAAGAAGAAACAGAAGAAAATGGCTAAAAATCTAAAAAGAAATAACAGACAATAGAAATAGACATATAAAGGGTTCCAAAATGGAGTTGTCAGACTTAAATAACTGTGATTACCATTTTGAAAACATGAAAAATTAAAAATTTCAGTAGAGAATCAGAAAGAATAAAAACCTACTGAAAACCCGAAAAGCTAAGAAACCACAAAAACAGAAACAAGTAAGTCAATGAATGGATTCAATAGTGGATAAACCACAGCTGAACAGATAGTAAATGGAACAGAGGTTAGTGTAATAACCAGGATCAATCAGAGGGTGACAGAAGGATGAAAAATATGAGAGAAAGTGACATTAAAGACATAATGAGAAGACTATCATACATGTTGGAGAAGGAAATGGCAACCCACTCCAGTATTCTTGCCTGGAGAATTCCATGGACAGAGGAGCCTGGCAAACTACAGTCCATGGGGTAGCAAAGAGGTGGACACGACTGAGTAACTAGCACGTCATACATGTCATTGTAGTTCTAAAAATAAAAAGGAGAAAGAAGCAGGAGAGTATTATTTGAAGAGGTAAGGGCTAAGAAGTTTCCAAATTTGATGAATATAAGATCACAGATTCAAGAAGTGCTATGAATCCCAAATAGAGAATACCTTAAAAGCAGCCTAAAAAAGTTACCTTTAAAGGAAAAATAACTAGATTGACAGATGACTACTCAATACAAAATATGGAGAAAAGAAGACATTGGAGTGAAATCTTCAAAATGCTAAGACACTTGTTAACCTAGAATTCCATGTTTAGTAAATACATTCCTTCAGAAGGAACATAAGATATGAACATTTTCATATAAACAAACATAAAAAGAACTGGTCACCAGTAGTCCTGCACCAAAGGAATTACTAAAAGGTGTTCTTCAATTAAGAAGAAAATAATCCTGATAGAAGACTGGAGGTGCAGGAAGAAATAAGGAGAAAGGAAAAGGATAAATATTTACGTAGATCTAAACCAGTGTTTCTTAACTGGAGGTAGACTGATTCTTTCCATCTCCCAAGACACATATGGTAATATTTGAAGATATTTTTGGTGGCTATAACTGAGAGGTAGTAGTATCTACTGGGTAGAAGCTAGGGATGCTACTAAATATACAAGGGCCAGCTCCCCCTTCCACTACAAAAAAGAATTATCTGAAACAAATGTTAATAGTGCTAAGATTGAGAGAGCCTGATCTAAATGAATTGTGAGCATAAAATCATTATCATCGTCTTTTAAATAAAGAACTAAAATATGTAACAAAAGTAGTAGATGTGCCAGAATCAGGTAAGTAAAGTTAAAGCCGTCCAGGAATAGATAAAGGTACTAATTTATATTAGACTCGGTAAGTCAAGGATATATGTGGTAATCTCTACAAAAAACATAAAAGGAAAAAGGATATAATTACTAATGGAATAATAAAAACAAGCAAGCGAGAAGGAAAAAAAAAAAAAACCACACAGAACAGGCAGGAAAACTAGAAAACAGATAGCTGGAAAATACGTTTCAATCCAAAAGTATCATGTTACAATAAATACAAATAGACAAAATATTCAATTAAAAGATCAAAGATAAAAATTGTCATATTACACTAAAAATGATATGCTAATAGAAAGTATATTGAAAATATGAAAGGCTGAAAGTAAAACAATGCAAAAATATATTAACTAACCAGGGATTGAACATGGGCCATGGGCAGTGAAAGGGTGGAGTATGAACCACTGGGTTGCCAAGGAATTCTCACAGGAGTGTTTATAATAAAAGAAAAATGAAAAAAAATTAAGTACCCATCACTAAATTGTTATATAACCTATGGAATGAAAATAGAGTGCACAGACCATATGTATTTATAAACATTGCTATATATGTCCATATGACCACAATTTATTACTGAATGGAAAGAAAACAGGTTGTACTAAAACATATATAGAATAGCTCATTTATATTTAAATGTATATGTTCATACATGTTTAGGAGGCATCTTGAAAGATACTCTTAAACTAGCAGTTGGGAAACTATGGCCCACAGGCCAAATCCTGTTTTTCAAAGTGCCATCAGAACATAGTTGTGGCCATCCATTTACTTCTTGTCCATTGCTATTTTGGGATACAATAACAAAGTTGAGTAATTTCAACAGAGATTGTTGTCTTGCAAAGCTGAAAATGTTTACTCTCTGGACCCTGAAGAAAAAGTATGCCTACCCTTGTAGTAAACTATGAATTATGGTTAAGGCAACTCGTCTTTTATGCCTACATTATCATTTTGAGTTTTTAAAAACTAAGTACTATTTTTAGAAACTTAAATACATCTTTAAAAGCATTGATAAAAAAGATTAAGAACTCAGAGGAAAGATAACTGTGTAAATGTGGCTCTTATCTTTAAACCTCTTATGAGCCATTATGTGATCAACAATAAATTGTAGCTCAATCAAAGGAAGACTTTTCTGGCAGAGCAGTTTGAACATGGATGATAAAGAATTTCCCATTAATGGAAAAGCAGATAACTTCAAAGATTCATTCAAAATCTAAGTTCTATAGAGTGAAGCACCATTATAAATGATACAGATTACAAGGAAACAGAAGCATTACCTGAGCAAAATTAAAACAAGAACTAAAAGTAGGATCATAAATAAAGGAACATGCAATTCTGATTAAATGAGCATACAAGCATAATACAGAGATGTTGTGGATTTGATTAGACCACCAATAAGGGCAGTCACACATTTTTTTTGTTTGTTTGTTTTCAAGTGCATAAAAGTTATGTTCACAGTACACTGTAGTCTATTAAGTGTGAAACAGCATTATGTAAAAAAAAATATTGCTGTTGTTTAGTTGCTAAATCATGTCTGACTCTTTGTGATCCCATGGACGGTCTCCAGGCTCCTCTGTCCATGGGCTTTCCCAGGAAAGAATACTGGAGTGGGTTACCAATTTCTTCTCCAGGGGATCCTACTGACCGCGGGATCAATCCTGTGTTTCTTGCATTAGCAGGCGAATTCTTTACCACTGAGCCACCAGGGAAGCCCTGGTGGCAAAATACTTTATTGCTAAAATATTCCATCCACTTTTTTTTTGATTAGTGTTACCGAGGTATATTTTCCATCCTTGTAATTTTAACCTACTTGTGTTTTTATTTAGCATGAGTTTCTTATAGGCAGCACAGAGTTGGGTCTTAATTTTTAAAAATTCTACTTGGATAGCCTCTTCCTTTTTAATTGTAGCAGTTAATGAATCCACATTCAATATGATTTACAGTTGCCTCAGTGGTAAAGAATTCGCCTGCCAGCACAGGAGACGCTGGTTCGATCTCTGGGTTGGGAAGACCCTCTGGAGAAGAGAATGGCAATCCACTCTAGCATTATTAACTGGAATATCCCAAGGATAGAGGAGCCTGGTGGGCTACAGTCCATAGGGTTGCAAAGAGTCGGACACGACTGAGTGGCTGAGCACAACACATAGCACATGTAATGTTTTGGATTATTTTTATTATTCCACTTTATCACCTTTATTGGCTTATTAGCTATAACTCTTTTTGTTTAGTGGTTACCTGAGGGCATATAATATGTATCTTTAACTTATTACAGTTTACCTTCAGTTGATATTCCACTTTACTTCTAAGTATATTACAACAGTAGCTCCATAATTCCATCTAATATAATTTTCCTTACATGGTAGCATTTTCTGTAGTGCATTTCTGCTGGTGATTAATTTCTTCAGCTTTTCTATGTCTGAAAAAGTCTTTATTTTGCCTGTGTTTCTGAAAGACATTTTCACTGAGTATACAACTCTAAGTAGGGACTTCCCTGGCAGTCCAGTGATTAAGAGTTTGCCTTCCAATGTAAGAGGTGCTGGCTCAATTCCTGGTCAGGGAGCTAAGAGCCTACGTGCCTCTTGACCAAAAAACCAAAACATAAAAGAGAAACAATATTGTTATAAATTCAATGATGACTTTAAAAATGGTCCACATCAAAAAAAAAAAAAAGAAGAAGAAGAAAGAAATCTTAAAAAAAAAATAAAGAACTCTAAGTTTATTTATTTTTTCCCCCAATACCTAAAAGCTATTGCTCCATTGTCTTCTGGCTTGAACTATTCTGAATGAGAAGTCTTTTATTCTATTCTTATGTTTTTTCTCCAGTTACTTTTAAGATGTTCTCCTTATTACTGGCTTAAAAGCAATTTGATTATGAAGAATATTTGACATAATTTTCTTCATATTTCTTATTTTGGGGGTCTATTGATCTTGGATATGTGGCTTTATAATTTTCTTCATATTTGGGCAAAGATCAGTCTTTATTTCTTCAAACACAGTTCCTTCAGGGACTGGAACTGGATGTAAACTGATCTACTTAAAGTTGCCCAACAATTTGATAATGCTCCATTCATGTTTTTTTACTGGTCTTGTGGGCGTGTGTGTTTCATTTTGAGTAACTTCTATGACTATATTTTCCACTTTACTAATTTTTTCCTATGGTGTCCAATGTCCTATTCATCCCTTGCAGTATAGTTTATTCTCTCTCACATTGTATTTTATACCTTTATAAGTTCAATTTGGATTTCGTTAAGTATCTTTCCTCTATCTTCCTGAACATACAAATTATAGTTTTAATAACTTTGAAATTAAAGTGTTTATAACTTTTAATGGCCTATTTAGTAATTATGTCAACTGTGCTATGAATGTGTTTCAATGGATTGATTTTCCTCATCACTATGGGTCAACAATTCCTGTTTTGTGCCTGGTAAATTTTTGCTGACTTTCCCAACCCTTGCTGAGTGCTCTGGGACATGGTTAAGTTGTTGCATATAGTTTGATCCTTTCCAGAAGGCTTGCTGTTCAGTTCTGTTAAATGTGATCAGATCAGCCATCAGCCCAGAGTAAACTGTCTTCTTTGATGTGCCAATGCCCTTCTGAGCATTCTGCCTGATGCCCTTTGCAGGACAGGTTCTCCACTATGACTGGTGGACACATGGAGTCTGCCCAGTCTTTTCTATCCTAAAGAATTTTTTTTTTTTTTGTCATTCATGGTAGTTCTTTCTTCATTGCTGAGGAGTCTACTCATACAAATGTGTTAATCAGTACCCAGTTGAAGAACTGGTATCTTTGGAAGGCTTTCTCAGGGTTGCTCTCATCTCTCTGTGCTCTGCTCTGCAAATTCTTGCCTCTCTGGGATCCCAGGTTTTGTTTCTTCAGCTCTGGGAGATTGTGAGGCTCTGCTTGGGGTCTTCACCCTTGGCTTCAACCTGGGAACGAACTCCCTCTAGGCAGTGTGCAGGAGATTAAATTGGATTTTCCCCCTCTCAGAGATTTTTGTTTTGTGCTACTCCATGCTGAACTGAACTGATGTTTATGGTTTGAAAAAGTATTCATTTCTCAAACATGTTTTTCAGGTTTATCATGTACTGGGCCATGTGCTGCTTTTAAGACCAGTTGATTAAAAGTTACTTTGTCTCTCTTACCTCTTTCTAACTGGTATTAGTTTTCTATTATTCTTATATGATGAAATTTTGCTGCTTCCTTCCCAACAAAGAAAATCATAACACTAGAGAATAAAAGACTAGAACAGAAGAGCTGGGAAAATAAGCTGTGGATGACATTAGTCACAGAATGACTTGGCAGACAGGTGGAGAGAAATCTCCCAAGTAACCTCTGGAAACCTACAACACAGCGGTCCAGAAAGGGGCTGGCAAATTACTGCCTAGGGGCTAAGTCTGACCCACTGCCTGTTTTTGTAAATAGAGTTCTATAGGAACACAGCCACACCCACTTGCATACATATTGTCTACTTCCATATTACAAGAGTTGAGTGGAGTAGTTATGACAAGAATGCATGGCCTGTAAAACCTAAAATATTTACTGTCTGGTTCTTTATAGACAGAAGTTTGCTCATGCCTGGTCTACAAAGATAAAGATAAAATACTAAAATTTCTTTGGACTTCCATAGTGGTACAGTGGGTAAGAATTTGCCTGCCAATACAAGGGACATGGGTTACATCCCTGGACCAGGAAGATTCCACATGCCAAGGAGCAACTAACCCAGCAACCCACAACTACTGGGCTGGCGCTCTAGAGCCCACGAGCCACAACTTCCCTAGAGCCTTCCCTAGAGCCTGCACACCACAACTGCTGAGCCCGTGTGTTGGGACTACTGAAGCCTGAGCACTTAGAGCCTGTGCTTCGCAACAAGAGAAGCCAATGCAATGATAAGCCCGTGCACTGTAATGAGCACTAGCCCCCACTCACCTGCAACTAGAGAAAGCCTGCATGTAGCAATGAGGATCCAGTGCAGCCAAACAAAAACAAGAACAAAACCTTTGATTCTGACAGGAAAATTCTAAATTCTGACTTGGCAGTAATAATATAGCATTCAGCCCATATATCTATGTTTTATTTCTCAAAGACTGCTGCTGGCGGATACAGGCAGTTATAAGCCAATTTTCAGAGGTAAAAATTTAGTCACTAACTTCAAAATTCTGTTTCATTTTCATCCTAGGAATCAAATGGTGAAAAAGAAAGCATGAAGTTTTCAAGCTTGTATTGCTTTCTTCTGCTTCTCATTTTTCAAACTGACTTTGGACAAAATGAAGAAACTTCTAGGAGGCAAAGAAGGAAGATGTATTATAGAAGACTGAGAAAAAGTTCCTTGCCCACCCACAGATCTGTTAGACAGCTTGGAATTCATCAGATGAAGACAGTTACACCTGCAGCAAAACTTCCCATAATTAACTTGGATTACAGTATGGAGGAAAAATTTGAATCTTTTTTAAGTGTTCCTGGAGTAGAATCAAGCTATAATGTGTTACCAGGTAAGAAAATAGTAGGAGAGAGGGAGAGAGAGAGAACCTCCATGAAGAAAATTTTTAAAAATTCAAGTTATTATCTTTTAGTTTAATCTACAAAGATAAATTTTGAAATAATTAAAAAATCATTTATAGAATATATTTATAAAATTATTGGAAAAAAGAAAAACATTACTTATTCCACAACTATATTTATAAAACCATACTTACTATTTGGTTTATTCTTTCCAGTCTGTTTACTATGCCATGTATTTTAAATAGTTGTAATCATACTATAGTAATATACATGTCATTTATCATGATAGGTTATCTAGGATATAGAAATAAATGATTCAGATGAGTCTATGAACTCATGGCTATTAAATATTTTCAACCAAATATGAAGTTAAGCCATTAAATTTATTTTATATACCAAATTACAGAATTTTTTTCCTGATTTTTTAAAGTTTGAAAAGATTGGAAAGTCTTCCAAAGATTTCAAACTAGGCATTTTAAACACTAATATGTAATGGTCCACATTTTTCCAGGTTTGGAAGGAAAAATTAATTATATTATGCGTATGTTATCATTACATAAAACTCTGAGAAAACAAAAGAAAATATTACCACATAATGTTCTGTGACCAAAACTTCATATTTGTCTCAAGAGAACCAAATACTTTTAAAAGATGTTATTTCCATGAAGCTAACAGAAATAACATACAATTATGATGAAAATAGACAATTTAGGTCATATTTACAACATGATTGGAGAGAAGAAAGAGTCTCAAGGCAGGGAATCTAAAATGATAATTATAGTGTACCCATAACTCTTAAAGAATGATGAAGTCAATTTCTCTAATTATGTGGAAAGATATCCAAGCTATAATAACAGAAAATAAAAAGACTGAAAAGCAGTGGGCATAATGTGATCTCAAATCTGTTTTAAAAGTATACAATATAGGGTGATGTGCATAAAGTATAGACAATGTATACTAAACATTTCTAAATTGTCCTAAAATGTTTTCCAGTGGTCTGAAAAACGGACTTTTTAAAAATTATGATAAAATACACATAACATAAAACATCATTTAACCATTATATAGTGTACAATTAATTCAGTGACATTTAGTATATTCACAATACTGTACAACCATCACCACTACCTAGTTCCTGAACATTTTCTTCACCCTAAAAGAGAAGTGCATGCATATTAAGCACTTACTCCCCATTTTCTCCTACCCTTCCCCTCCCCCCCAAGTCTCTGGCAATCACTAATCTTTCTGTCTCTATGAATTTGTCTATTCTGTATATCTAATATAAGAGGAATCCTATAATATGTGGCCTTTTGTGTCTGACTGCTTTCACTTGGCCTAATGTTTTCAAGGTTCACTCATGTAGTATGTACTTCATTCTTTTTTATGGCTGAATGATATTTCACCGCAGAGAAACATCATGTTTTGTTTATCCTTTCATCCACTGATGGATAACTGTGTGCTGTTTCCACCTTTTGGCTACTGTGAATAGCACAGCTACGAATATTTGTGTACAAGTTTCTATCTGAATTCCTGTTCCCTTGGGTATATACCTAGAAATGAACAGGGCTAATACAGTGGTGAGGAAGAGAAGGAGACAAATGTGAGAGCTCACTTGAGGGGACAGTGGCTCATCAAATGGAGAAGAGTTATCAGGACTAACATTAGGATTAGAAGGAAAATATCACCTCTAATATTCAAACTGGCTGTCTAACGGCCTGCTTAGCTGACACACTTATCCATGTATGAAGAGAGAATAAGATACTAAAACCCACTGCACTGTGCACTTTAAAAGGGTATTAGATTCGTATTTCAACAACACAACAATTCTAAAAACAGAGATAGCTGCAGTGCATCATTGAGACTTCAATGCCAGAAGCACCACAAGCATATAGCCTAATCTCACCTCTGCATCTGCACCCTGGGAAGGGTACAGTGTGGGCTGGCTCATCATGAGTGCTGTTCTGGTTCTCTGCTTTCTGGCATGCTATGGGACTATACTGCTTTTTCTCTTCTGAAGTTAGATGCAGTCATATAATTTGCCTTGGTTCAATGTAATTAGATACATTTAGAACTTGTGTGTTATTTGCAACCCCACATTCCCACTGCTGTGGCCATCAGGGTAGCCTGCTTGGAGACGAAGCCTATTGTTTGTCTTGACAAACAATATCTACATTGGATATCCAGCACGAACAAGAAATAACAGACTTGAGGGTTATATGTCGCTGTTATATAGCTCAGCCATCCTGACAGATGCAAGATGGAAAGCACAATTTAGAGTCAAGTTACCATGAGGAAGTCCACTCAGGTCCACTTGGAGAAGTAAGAGGGCTTGAGAGTACATGTGAAAAGCACTTCAAGGGGTTACATCTGTAAGATACTTTTACCCTATGTATGCATGAACATATAATGTTATTCTCGTGCGGCTCTATCACTCTGGACTTCACACTGGGCTCACTTCCATTCAAAGGTGCTAGTGATCAGACAAGGAATTCAAATGTTACTGTTCTCTTCTAGGAAAGAAAGGACACTGTTTGGCAAATGGGATGATCATGTATAACAAAGCTGTGTGGTCTCCGGAGCCCTGTACTACCTGCCTCTGCTTGAATGGAAAAGTCCTTTGTGATGAGACCAAGTGCCACCCTCAGATGTGCCCCCAAACACTTATACCTGAAGGAGAATGCTGCCCTGTCTGCTCTGATACTGGTACAGTTATTTAGTCCAAACAAAATATCACACGTGATTCAGTCTTTAACTTTCATTTGCTTTTATTTCATCACTACCTTTAATTTTATTTTTTTAAAGGATATTTCTTTTTTTAAAAAATGCTTGTTTATTTGGCTGCGCCAGGTCTTAGTTGCAGCAGGTGGTTCTTTAGTCCTTGTTCCTGCAATGAGGGATCATTTTCAGTCGTGGCATGCAAACTCTTAGTTGCGGTGTGTGGGATCTAATTCCCTGACCAGGGATCAAACCTGGGCCCCCTGCACTGGGAGTGCAGAGTCTTAGCCACTGGACCACCACAAAAGTCTTTACCTTAAAATTTAAGTTATGATAAACTAGTCAGTAAGGTACTTAAATACTGGCACAGTGATGATAAGGAAATTACTTGGGAGATTACATCAGAGGAGAGAAATAAAAGACAGTGTTTTAGAGTTTTAGCTCAATTTGAACTCAGCCCAGATCACATTCCACATTTGACTCTCAGCATTACAGATGGAGTGACAGAATTACACAGTAAACAGCTCCCACAATCTTAGTAGTTGTGAAGAACTCTATTTAGTTCCTTATATGCATTGTCTCAATTCAATTCCATGTACTTACAGTTATAAACCCAAATAAAGAACTCAAGGTGAAGAAAGGGAGGAGGGGCTTGCATCTAGAGAGAATAAAGCCCAATTCTCTCAGTCTGTGTGCAGTTATTACTGCTCAGGTAATCCTTGGGAAATAAGGCCATGGCCCAAGAGCAGTGGCTTTCTTTTGTGGTACTGCTGTGCAGAGAAAGACTATGCTATGAGGTTTTGTTGGCTGCTCACTGTCCCTTATCCTATGAGGCTGATGGGGTAGAGGACTCTCAAGAGGGAGGCTCAGGATTCCTTCAAGAAAAACCTGGTCAGTAGCTTATGAAATAAATGTGTGTTAGATAATTTGATGAGAAGGGGTAGGGAACAGAGATGTTTTCTGTTGCCTATGATTAAGGTAGACTGTTCCCCCACACACAGGATGATCACAGGGTGGTTATCCACGGAAGTCTCCTTCCAAGAAGACCTTCAGAACATTTAGGAACTGTATTTGGTGTAGAGTACCAACTGCTTTGAGAATCCCTGATGGCTCAGTGGGTAAAGAATCCGCCTGCAATGCGGGAGACACTGGAGACGCAGGTTTGATCCCTGGGTTGGGAAGATCCCCTGGAGGAGGAAATGGCACCCCACTCCAGTACTCTTGCTTGGAGAATCCCACGGACAGAGGAGCCTGGTGGACTACAGTTCAGAGGGTCACAAAGAGTCAGATGCAACAGAGTGACTAAACACCAATTGTTTTACTAAGATAACCTTTAAAAAAAGTGTTAGAAAATAAAAGTTTAATGAAACTGATACCTTGGGAGATGAAACACAAGGTTTATAAAGGCAAGATCCAGAAATTCTCAGATATTTTTCAAAGGACTTGAACTATTATTCTTGAAATACTGTGGTTATTTTGGAAAAATAAACTTGGATACACAGGAAAGATTTTAAATGTTTCAATATGATAGCTTTAGTTTCCTTTTGCTAATTTTTTCCTATTCTCCTTTTGCATGTTTGTCAAGAGATGTGAAAAAAATAACTCACAGACTTTATAATATATACTGAATTGAAATTTCAAGTAATTCTTTCAATTAATTATATCTTGAGTTCTTTTTTGGGGTGATTTATGTATAGTATTAAATAAAATCATGGAAATGATTAAGTAAATTTTTATTATTTTGATGAAAGAAAATCTATGTACTGAGCTTATTTTTCCCTAAAACTCTTCATTCAGAGGGTCTGGTCTGTGTCAAGTCTTCCCTGCTCTCTGCCAAAGATAATAACAGTTAAATACAAATGTAGATAAACTTTCTACTGTAATATATTATGTTATCACCATGAAATGATAAAAAATACTCTGTGCATATGTCTAGGTTAAGAAAATATCATTTAAGTGCAGGACATCTTCCACAGATCTCAAGCAGTAATAATGATTTAAGTACAGAGTCTGGGAGGAAAAGAGAAGAGGATTTTCTATAATTCTGAATTTCAGAGGATACTTTTAGGCACATGGAGCTGAAAGAAAATCAGACAAATATAATAAAAGCCGATTTCATTATCACAAACAAGTAAAATATATACCTGCTTCATGTTTTTATGTCTGACAGTGTACAAATTCTTACATTATCAATAACCCCAGTTAACTGAACAGTATCTATTATAAAGGTATAACATCTGATTATTTTATAATCTCGCAATAGGACTGCTTACCATTTTGTAACACATGGTAATATTATTCCCTCTTTAGTCACCAGATAGCCTGGTGCCTTAATAAAATAAGGCTCACAAAGCAAACAAGAATTGCCTATCACATCTTACAAAACACAAATAAAGTTTATTTATTTCTACTAAAGTTATTCAAGCAAAAACTACAAGATGCATTTCATGTTTAAATTGTACTCATGTTCCTGGAGGGAATAATATTTACTAACCTAATTTTCACTATGATTTTTCCTTTCATTAATACCACAACTTGCCCTTGCTGTCTTCTTCTGTGGTCAGTAGACTCCTATTTGCTACTCAGTGGTACAGCATTAAATGATAGAACTGAATTTTCTGGTGATTCTTCAGAACAAGGAGAACCTACCAATTTACCTCATAAGCAAGAGTCACCTCCTTGGGTGGAAATGAATCGAGCACTGGGAAAAGAGGAACTTCAATTTGAGGAGGATGAAGAAGAAGTCAAACAAGAAGAAAATAGGGAGCAAAAGAAAAAGACTTCTAGACGTGGAGACTGGGGGAGTCCTCCCAATGAGGGACAGAACAGGGAAGGGAGAGAGCAGAGGCCTGGAGAGGAGGTGAGGCAGGCCCATCAACACAGAAACCCAGCAAGGGAGAATGAGGAGGACAGTGAAGATGAGGAGGAAGACGATGAAGACGAGGAGGAAGATGAGGATGAGACCGTCAGAGGAGACACGTTCAGGATGCCCCCTCGACTCCCAATCCCGGCGACCCCCAGAGGCACACCGTCTCTGCCAAGCAGGTGCTCTTTGTCCTACAAAACCATCTCCTGTATCAGCGCTGACCTCACACAAATACCACCGCTAACAGCACCAGAGATAACAAGTCTGGAGCTCATAGGTAAGATGTGGATGTCTGTTTGATTCTGTGGTTACCTCTCATTGCCCTATGAATGTGATCTTTTAATTTCATGATATAAATGGACCCCAAGAGATTAATTTCACAATCTTCAAACAGAAAAACTTGCAGAAGAGATAGGTGTTTACTACAGAAAAGCACCATCAGGTATAATACAAATTCCTCCAAATCAAATCATGATGTCCCACTGACTTTTTCCCTAAAATCAGCTTTATGAGGTATAAGTTATATTCAGTAAAAAAATTGTTAGCGTGTTATTCTTTAAGTTTTGGCAAATGCATACAGTCATACAGTCACACATTCAAGGTATAACATTTTCATCACCTCACCAAATTCTCTCATGTCCCTTCTATCACCAGCCCAATGTTTCCTGTCTCTAGAGTACCTTTTCTAGGATGTCACAGAAATGTATACAATTGTGGAGCCTTTTCAGTTGGACTTCTTTCACTTACCATAAAACTGCTGAGGGCTATTCAAGTTGTGATTATCAACAACAACTTGCTCCTCCTCACTTCTGAGTGGCATTCCATTGTTTGGATGGACCACACGTACCAGGTGAAGGACATCTGGATTATTTCCAGTTTGGGGCAATTATGCAACAGTTGCTATAAACATTCATATATGGATGCTTGTGTGGACTTAAGTTTTCCTTTTTCTAGGGTATATACCCAGGAGTGGATTGCTGAATGATACAGTAAAAGCAGGTTTACCTTTATAAGAAATGGCCAGACTTCCTTAAAATGGCTGTGAGACTCCTTCCAGCAATATCACAGCGTTACTATTGCTTTCCCCCTTGTTTTAGCTACTTGGCAGGCAGGACGTGATCCAGACCGTTTGCTCACGTTCTTAAAGGGTCAAGAAGAGCTCTGAGTAGAGGACTGGCAGGACAGATATGCGTGTGAGGCTGGCTGGTGTGGAGACTGGGACAGTGAATAGGGCCCATGCTGCAGATGGCTCTTAAGATGGAGGGGTGAGAGAATCTGAGTGGGCTTTCAGATGTGTCTTGGGAGAAGTCACAGAAATAAACTACCACAGAAATAATAAGTGATCATATAAATACTCAACTGACACAGCCTGACTCCTTAGTCAGGACAGCCAGTCTACAATAGGACCCGTCAGGTATTATGGCCTTCCTGATGCCAGGCTTATCTGATCTCCTAAGGAATTACTATTACGCTGAGAGCTTCCTTTTTCAGCAATGCCCCCTCCTTCTGTAGCCTGCATGCTAGGTGTGCTCTGCCATTAGACAAAGAAATAATCTGTGAAGGTTGAAAATCTTATGAAAGATGATGTGTGCTCAGCTGCTCAGTTACACTCTCCTGGTTTTATAAGAAAGCTACCACATGGTTTTTATAGTACTCAGCATTTCCCGATTGGCTCAGTGGTAAAGAACCAGTGCAAGAGCCACAGGAGACATGGGCTTGATTCCTGGGTGGGGAAGATCCCCTGGAGAAGGAAATGGCGACCCACTCTAGTATTCTTGCCTGGAGAATCCCACGGACAGAGGAGCCTGGCCGGTGACAGTCCATGGGGTCGCAAGAGTCAGACACGACTTAGTCACTAAACTACCACCATTTCTGTTAAGCTCATTCTCTGGGTTTAAAATCACTGACTACTCTACTTAACTAAATGTCAAACAAAACCCCATAAATTAAAGCATGCAGGAACTTCTATAGATTGAAGTCAGAATTTTAACATTAGACCAGGTAGCAATCTGAGAAATTATCTCCCCAAACTTCTTATTTAGAGCAAACTGATGCTTGGAGAAGGCAAGTTACATGCCCAAGATTTCATTAAAAAATAGTAATATTTCTGGTCCAGGGTCTAAAAAGTGTCAATAGGAAAATATGAATAACTATAAAATTCAGTTTCTATAGTACCTTCCATAACACATCTTTGTTGTAAAATGCATATTGTTAACAGAATTGTCTAGCAAACCACATTCTGGCTGTTTTAAGCAGCTTCATCTAAACATGATGTCCTAGAGCAAGACAGGTCCTTAGAGTGAAAATTCTGACTGTAGGTAATAGTCTAGTCTCAGTTTTTTGTTTTTTTTTTTTTAATAAATACTCATTTATTATATAACATTGTCCTTGCTATAAGCACTGTGTTTTCCTCCAGGTAAAGCTCTCTTTTGCTATCTATGCATGTACATATATATATGTATTTACAGGTACAAAGGCCTAAAACATAATTGCTGTGTGTCCTAGGCAATTCCATCACCTCCATTCCGGATGAAGCATTTAACGGATTACCGAATTTGGAAAGGCTTGATCTGAGCAAAAATAATATCACCTCTTCAGGCATAGGTCCGAAAGCATTCAAGGTAAATACGCACTATGATTTCTAAGAGTCCACTTGGATGGCTTTCTCATTAATTGTACTGATAATGGGTGGAGATGGAGAAGGAAAGAAAAGTATGCTCTTTTTTGTTGTTGCGCTGGGTCTTTGTTACTGCATGCAAGCTTTCTCTAGTTGCAGTGAGCAGGGGTTACTCTGTTGTGGTGTGCTGGCTTCTCTTGTTGCAGGGCACAGGCTGTAGGCACGCGAACTTCAGCAGCTGTGGCACATGGGCTCGGCAGTTGTGGCTCAAGGGCTCTAGAACACAGGCTCAGGAGTTACGGTGCATGGGCTTAGTTGCAGCATGTGGGGTCTCCCTGGACCAAGACTGAACCTAGATCCCCTTATCGGCAAGTGGATTCTTACTCATTGCACCATCAAAGAAGTCCCAGTAAAATGTTTTAAAGGAGTTTTTGTCAAAGAAAGTTTCTCCTCTGATAGCCCTAAACTGTATCCAAGTTATATCTTGAATATACTTTGTTGTTTTATAAATTTCTGTTTTTTTCTATGCTTTGTCCTTAATGCACCCACAGTAGCATCAATGACAAAACTAATGTTTAGAATTTATGGAAGAGTTTCTTCCCAAGTACCTGAAAATATGTTGAAATATGGTCTCTTAGTATGTGAGGTATTTCTGGGGAAAAAGGAGAGCTTATTTAGAAACTGTTAACATGTTCAAGCCAGCAAGACAAAGCTTCCTTATTTTGTGCAATCTGCAAAATCTAGTAAAGAATACTTCAGCAGGTGGGGTTCTGCAAGAACAAAGAGGCTCAGAAGAAAATGAGCTTGGGGATAGGTTGGGCAGAAAGGGAAAGAGAAAAGCATAGAGTAAACTTTGCAAAGAATCAGATTTAACTAAAATTTATTTTCTAAAAGGGAGAAAAGAGAGTATCGAGGACTTTCCGAAAAACAAAGGCAGAAGAAAGGAGGAATTTGTGTGTGTAAACAAATACTCAAAATTGTGTGTGGTTAAAGAAGCCCAAGTAAAACATGTTACATTCCAGGAAGTCAAACTTTATCCTCTTGGATGGTTTCCTTCTACTCTTTGGATAAGTCACTGGCCTCTTACAGGCTCAGTTCCTGGTTCTTGTTTACATTCTGGGCTGCAGGCAAGAGAGTTCCAGACACTTGGTGTCCACATTCATGTGAAAGACTGAAGTCCTGCTTCATGCTAGTTGTCCTTTTGATAGAAAAATAGTTGGGACTTGTACATTTTCTCTATTTGATCAAAAAAAAGAGGACACTATAGGAAATAACTTGTTTTTTTTTTTGTTTGTTTTGGGATTCTCTACCTCATTTCCAACTGCTGAAATTGACTTTGAGCATCTTTGAAGTAAATCACTCTGCAACTTTGGTAGTGCAGGCTAGTTTGGCCAACAAACACGTAACTACAAATGTGAAAATACACCCTCCAGACTGTCAAAACTGTTTGGGTGCCATATAGAAATAGTTTGTGATATTTGTGGCATTTAATTTTGATGAATTTCCACAATAGTTAGTGCTATTTCATGACTGTTTCTGCTTAGTACAGATAGAAAACTGAGGTTTACAAACACATTGAAAGGATTCAAACTGCTATCTTGTTAGTATCGATGACAGATTCAGATTACTGCATGATTTAATAAATTCTGACTCTACTGCTGAGGTGAAAACCTAAGATCTAGGAAAATATGTCCAGTGGTGATAGGAACTTTCTCCTGATAACTAAAGTCACAGTAAAAATATGGAGGAGTATGATGCAAAATCACCAAATGTGGTTTGCTGAAAATACCAGGGAATAAATGCTATTAACAGGATCAACATGTACCAGGGAGAATTGGGGATTCATGCCTAAGACTGAATAAACTGAAAGTTTGTGAAACTTTAGTAACTACTGCAAACTGACTATTAAATAATATATATGACTGCATTTCTGTGACAAGATAAAAAAGTAATTTTGAGATTTGCCTTTATTTAAGTTTCTAAAGAATTTAATACGCTTAAATATGGATGGAAACAATTTGGTAACGATTCCTTCAGAACTACCATCTACATTAGAAGAACTCAAAGTCAATGAGAACAAGCTGCAGGTTATTGATGAAGAAAGTTTATCAGGTACTTAACATTTGACTTTATGGCATGTGTCCTTATAATCTTTCTTCTATAGTTGTATGGAAACTTTATTTGCAATATTGCTAAATGAATAGCTAATAAAAATTTTTTAGTTCATGTTACCATTTAAGTTGATAAAACATTTTAACTATTGATTGGTGAAACTTTAAAAAATGTATTTTAAACTGCCTGTTGTCTTTAAAAAGTATTCTATAAATAAACTTTCAATGATTTCAGGTTTTCATCATTTATAACAATAACTGAACTACAAATCCATAATATCTTAAGAGTTATACTAACACCCCCCATATAGCCATGTGTTCTCATACTATATTTGTACTAATGTTTTTGGTGTTGGTGATAACACAATACCATGGCTTGTTTAAATGGTCTCCTTTATCACCCTTAGATGCTCAATATACCCCATCCACAATTTCACTACATCTGAACATTTTGCTATCTTGGCACATGAGAATTATATATAAAATATAAGTAAATGGGGATACTATGTGAGGCTTTGAGGGGCTATTCTAAAATCAAAGTAAACATAAACTTGAGCACATGCACTCTATGTGGCAGTCACTTTGGCTTTAATAGTCTTGTTCTCCTGAGAGTTGCTCTGTCACTTCTGGCACTTGTGTGTCATCGAGGTACATGTGCCCCACAAGGCAAGACAAATGATGGGCATGGGTGTGTGGTTGCCGTGTCAGCCTGGCTTCCTCATGGGTGGGCTGAAGTGAAGGTGCCCCACATTTTGTACATTTGATTCAACTGGAATTTACTCTTCTTAAGACTATTTCTGGACTGAGCTGAATAACTGAAGCTGTCATATTACTCATTCAAGGTAAATAAGGTAGTATTACATTTGCCTTTTCAAGAATTCTAGCTAATGTTGTTGATTAGATTATATGCTTCTTTAAGACAAAGATTGTCTAATTTTTCTTTTATCTTCCTAACAGTCTAGTGTAGCTCTTGAGGTATAGTGCTTAACATTTTTTGTTTATTTGATTTGAACTATACTTACGATGTTTGTGTTGATTACCAAACCTTTATTCCTTTAAAATGGAGAATTTACTCCTCAAAAAAATTCATTAAGGACAAAACACTTCTGGTGATAGGAAAAAAACAATAATGAAAATTGCCAAATCTGAGGATGAGAGTTATGGAAATACTCCACTTCCAGATGGATTCAGGGTACACATGAAAAACATTAACAAACAAAATTTGAAGGGCTTTTTGTCATATGGAACAGACATTAGAAAGTTCCATTTCTAGCTGCTAGGTGAAACAGACCAAAGGAACACAATTTAGGACAAGTGTACTAATGGGCTACACCTGAACTACATGTGAGGTGGTATTTCGAGCAAGCTGTCAAAATGGCATGCTATAAGTCCTTGTTTGGAAAGTATTCTCTCACATTCCTATAACTGCTTCTCCACTCACACGCACCTCTCCCTCATGAAAAAGTTTCCATATTCCCAGAGGGCTAACTGTGGTCCAGGGTGACCTAGCCTCCCCTGCCCATCTCCCCCGTGAGTACCTCATATGCCTCAGCCCTTTGCAGCTGACCAGTGAGGAGGCTCTGCACTGCCTTCTTGCCCAGAGAAGCCTCTGGAGGCTTTGTGTCTTGAATGCTCCTCTCCTGCTTAGCCTGTGCTCTTAGCCCCACTCCAGTGCTGGTCCTTTGGTACTGGCTTCTTAGTTCTGCTCCAGCGTTGGCCCCTTCGGTTCCAAGTTCTCTTTCAGCTGCTGCAGCCACTGCAGCACCTCAGCTCCTGTGAGCCCCACCGTTGGGAATGTTCAGGCTGGCAGTGAGCAAGCAAGCCCCAAACAAAGGCCACCGCCAGCCTGAGACACTGCTTTTCTGGGTGGAAGCCCCGGCCGCAGCACTGCTGCTACCTGCCGCGTGACCTTTCCAGGTTTTATATTAATGTGCAGCTCCAGGAAAGCGGGAAAGGCAGCACTCCACGGACAGGAATACACGCAAAAGTGTAAAGAAACAGAGCAATCTGGGTGCTACGGGAAAAACATTCGGTTTCATAAATCTTAGATGCAGGCTATGATAACAAGTGAAGAACAAAAGATGACGTGAAAAGATGAGAAAGAACCACACAACGGACAGCTATACAAACTATGCCGAGGTGCTAGGAGGCCATCCAGGATCCACTGGGAGACCTGCATACCCACTCCAGAGAAAAGGAAGGTCTTAAAAGGGAAGGTGGGGCTTCCCTGGTGGCTGAGTGGTGAAGAATCTGCCGAATATAGGGGACATGGGTTCCAGCCTCAGGTTGGGAAGATCCCCTGGAGAAGGAAATGGCAACCTACTCTAGCATTCTTGCTTGGGAAATCCTGTGGACAGAGGAGCCTGGTGGGCTACAGTCCATGGGGTCGCAAAAGAGTTGGACATGACTTAGTGACTAAATAACAACATCAAAAGGGAAGGTGAAGATAGAAAGGGGGGAGAGCAGAAGAAAACAGGGCATGCTAAAAAATGTTCCTGTCTTCATTAATGATGAAAACAAACCAAAATCCATGATCATGGTGTCATTTCTAGCAAGATGGTGTGTGGTTATCCACTCAGAATAACTAAATTAATGCATAAGATCATGAATTTGCATTATCGTGTTTCTCTCTCTTGTGAGGTCACGTAATAACCAACTAGTCTACTTACTTCTATTATATATTTTTCTCTGAAAAAAATTCTCCATTCCAAAACCTCAGCTATGTTCTAGATAAATATGCTTGGATTCTCAGTATCTTTAGTTGTGGAAATGGTTATATAAAGAAATAGAATCATGTATCATAATTCAATAATTGGCCTCCATACTTTCTCTCTGCCCTTCAGTTGATGTTAAATATCAGCAGATTAGTATTTTGTTATGCTGTTCCCTGTCCAGAGGCTTCTCATTGCCCACAAGGAAGGTCAGACCTTATTTTCTGGTGCACGAAGGCCCTGCCCAGCCCACCTCTGTCTTCTCCACAACCTTCAGCCTCTCTTACAGATGGGCCACTCTAGGGCTGATCTCTTTCTTACTCCTGAGCACAACTATGTGGGTTCATACCTGCATGTGTTCACCTGGCTGCCTCACCCTCCCATTTCTACCAATGTCTTTCTCTCTTGAGAGTCTAGCCCCATTCACACCTCCGTACCACTCAAGTCTACACTGCCATCTTCTCCTTGTCATGTTCTAGAACCTATGAGGTATTTGTGATGACAGTGTCTTTTGTTTTCACTTTAGACTATGTCTTACTTCTCTTTTTGCCTAAGAGTAGGATCTAAGTTGCACAGAGCATATCAGTGCAATATCCATGACTCGAATTGAATATGAAAACATCCTCTATTCTGAAAATTTTGGCCACTGAGCAAACTCCAAAGTTACACCCTGAGTGTCTGACTCAGATGCCTGTGGGTATCATCACTGCTGAACTATCCATTCTCCTCTAAGTTTCCATCTGATTTGGTCATACCACTCCAGAGACCTGAAGAAACAATTTAGAAAGAGACTTGTTTTTATAAAGGCCTTTCTTGGTAGCTCAATCTGAATGTGTGGAATTTTTAGTCATTCTTTCAAAATGTCCATCTGGCTTCACTCTCTGCCAGGAAATGAACACTGCAATGGGAATTCACTGCTGTAACTCCCTTGTTCAAAGACTGAGGGTTTACCAGGCAAGAGTGCTCCTTCTGTGTCCTGAAAAAAGGGACCACCCATTGCATTACACTCCCCATACCTCCCTGGTTATGCCACCATTTCATACCTATCTGTCTCTGCAAATACTTCATTGCCACCTCTGTGTGGTGTCCTGCTCCCCCACCTCCTTCTTCTGACTTCTGTTCATTATACAAATGTTCCTTTCCATACTGTACATTCTTAACTCCCTTTCTCAAAGATTAATTGGCCATAAATGTGTGGGTTTATTTCTGGGCTCTCTATTCTGTTCCATTGGTCTATGGGTCTGTTTTTGTGGCAGTACCACACTGTTTCAGTTACTATAGCTTTGTACTATAGCCTAAAACCAGGGAGTGTGATATATCCAGCTTTTATATATCCAGATATATCCAGAAAGAAGATATATCTTCTTTCTCAAGATTGTTTTGACTATTTGGGATCTTCTGCATTTCCATACAAATATTACACTTATTTGTTCTAGTTTTGTGAAAAATGCCATTGCTATTTTGATAGGGATTGCACTGAATCTGTAGACTGTCTTTTTAGGCAGTACAGTCATTTTAACAGTATTAAGTCTTTTGGTTTATGCACATGGTATATCATTCCATTTGTCTGTGTTGCCTTCAATCATTTTTTTAATCACTGTCTCATAGTTTTCTGAGTACAGGTCTTTTACTTCCTTGTTTACATTTATTCCTAAGTTTTTATTCTTTTTGATGCAACTGGAAATGGGCCTGTCTTCTTAATATTTCTCTTTCTGATAGTTTATTGTCAGTGTATAGAAACTTGACAGATTTCTGTGTATTAATTTTGTATCCTGAAACTTTACTGAATTCATGTACTAGTTGTAATAGTTTTTTGGAGGCAGTCTTTACAAATTTCTATGTATATAGTATCATGTTGTCTGCAGTGACAATTTTACTTCTTCCTTCCCAACTTGGATTCCTTTCATTTATTTTCCCTGTCTGATTGCTATGGCTGGGACTTCCAGCATTATGTTGAATAAAACCCGTAAGACTGGGCATCCTTGTCTTATTCCTGATTTTAGAGGATATGCTTTGAGCTTTTCACTGTTGAGTATGATATTGGCTGTAGGTTTGTCATATATGTTGAGGGATGTTCCCTCTGTACCCACTTTGTTGAGTCTTTATCATAAATGGATATTGAATTTTGTCAAAAGCTTTTTTTTTGCCTCTATTGAGGTAATCATATGACTTTTATCTGTCAGTTTGTTGATATGGTGTATCCACATTTATTTGTGGATATTAAGCCATTCTTACATCCCTGAAACAAGTCCTACTTGATTACAGTGTATGATCCTTTTAATATATCATTGAATTTGGTTTCCCAGTATTTTGTTAAAGTTATTTTGCATATATTTTTTTTTGGGTGGTGTTTTTTGGCTTTTGTATGAGGGTTACAAACTTTCATCATACAACACAACAGTGATTTCTCTACAGGCCTGTCTCTCCTGGACCATGCATTCAGCACTGAGTCCTGGCTGAAGTGAACATTTGTTGTGCAAATGTGAAGAGTACTTGGGAAAAGGCTCTATGGGGGGGGTTCAAAGAAAGAAGCTATAACATTAGTCATCCAAATAAAGTGAACATCTCACATGAAATTTTGAAAGCCTATAGAAATTGCATGGTTTTAAATTATAATATCACAATAATTTTTTTTATAGACTTAAATCAACTGGTCACTTTAGAATTGGAAGGAAACAATCTCAGTGAAACCAATGTCAATTCCTTAGCTTTCAAACCTTTGAAGAGCCTATCCTACCTGCGTCTGGGAAGAAATAAATTTAGAATTATACCACAGGGTCTTCCTGCTTCTATTGAGGTACCAATATTTTCCTTATAATGTTTTATATTTTAAGTATAGCATGCAATAACAAAACAAACAATATATTTAAAAAGATTATCGTGATGCATATTAAACTGAGTAGTTCTGGTGCTATAAATAAAATTTATTATAATTTGAGCACTGTTTTCAAACAATACAAAATTATGAATTAGAATTATTACTACTAGTAGAGTCTTGGTAAAGTGAAAATTGGTCTTACTGACAGCTCTTGGGGAGAGACTAGGGAAGATGAACTGAAAGTTCAAACAGAAAGTACAACTTGCAAAAAGCACCTTGATTTGCAAAGTAGTTTAAACTATCTCAAACTGGAAATGGGATGTTCATCCCAGTCTGTTCCACTCAGAGGCCCACCTGGGCTAGCAGTGACCCTGTAAGGATGGACAAGATTTTCAGAGAAGGCTGCTGACTGTGCCAGCATGCCACCCCTCACTCACTTCTCACAGCTTACTAATTTTGACTAGCACTGTTCTGTGTCCATCCCCTCTGGATGGATTTCCTGCAGCCCAAGTGTGTGGTCTCCCTTGCTACAACACGGAACACACTTAACTATGGGGGCACTCTGGTGGGGCCTTCCCTGCTAAGTGTACACCCTGACTTTCCACATTAAGAACTGAGGTTCAGCAGATCCAGGTGACCCTTAGGTCACTTCCTCTGAGCTCTATTTCTGTCCCATAAACAATCAGCCAGCAGGATGACGCTTCACAAGGCTGTGAACCCAGTGAGCCAAAAGAGGGCCATCACTCTCAATCTGATACTGCTGTTACACAGCCACCATGCTTCCTGTTTCTCCTATTTGTAGATTAAGACAGACATTTAGAATTTACCAATACTGTAAAAATGGAGGTTGCACTCATAACCTAGCTTTATCTCAGAACTACTTGGATTCTAAACAAATACAGATTTTGGGGCCTATACCAGACATGCTAAATCAGGTTCTTTGGAGAATTGGGTCAACAATTTATTGGGTTTTTAAAAATAAAAATTTAAATAGATAATGCATGCACACAGTAAAACACACACACACACAACACTTGAATAGTACAAAAGAGCAGTGTGTCTCCATTCCATGTCTGACACTTCCATCCCTGGTTTCCCTTTCCAAAGACCCTCTTACTAGCTTCTTGGGAGCTGTTGTCCATGCATGTACATACACTCTGAACCCTTGCAACATACCACTTCACACCTGCAGCTTCAACATATAAATGAGCGTGCTCTGTTAATTTAAATTGGAATTTATACTTTAAAAAGCTGATGAGTGATTATAACCTACAATCAAGTTTAGGAGCCACTAATATAGTTCACCCCTAAATAGGTATGAAGCAGAACACTAAAATTTACTTTACATACTTTCAACAATACCAAAATTAAATGACAAAAGGGGGAAATTACTATAATAGGAATTACTCCAAATATATATACACAAATCATACTTCTGAATTCCAACAAGATCTCTGAGTGACAAATTCCTTGTAAAGTCAAATGAATTTAACTTGAAGGCAGCTGACCATTGACAACTTACTAATAGTTCTAACCTCACCATGATGTTAAATGAAGGCTCCTAATGAACTTTTAATTAAAGAAATTATAATACAAACAAACCTAAAAAATGTGAGCCTAAAAAAATTACAGACAGCACGGACTGGCAGGAAACAGGATAACTCTAAGCTGGGGCCAGCCAGCATGAATTTCCCTCATGTATCAGCTGTTTAACTTTGCAAACACCTTGCCATCTCTCCAGGCCTGAGTTTTTTCACTACTAGATGGGGATAATTTCTACCTATTTTCTAGTTTCTAGGTCTTTGAAGCCCAAATGAAATAATTTATGTGAATAAGTTTTGTAAATCAGAAAGCTATATACAAGTATCATGATATGCTATATCGTATCATTTTATGGTTAAAAATAAGTAAATTCATTTAGTTCCATAACCATGACAAAGAGTACACTTTATTTTGCTAGCTAGAAAATCTGACAATGTAAAAAATTAACTCATTTGGAAGAGCTGCAAGACTCTTTCATTAGCTAACACTAATGACAACAGTTTATAACATGATTTTAATTCTGTGAAACTGAATATATTTTAATTCTGTGAAATTGAATATATTTATATCAAGTAATATGATGAAAAATAAGTCTTTTCTTTTAATTATAGGAATTATACCTAGAAAATAACCAAATTGAAGAAATAACTGAAATTTCTTTTAATCATACCAGAAAGATCAATGTCATTGGATTACGTTATAATAAAATTGAAGAAAACAGAATTGCTCCTTTAGCCTGGATAAATCAAGAGTAAGTACATGCTACAGTTTGATGTTCATAGATGAATTCTTTTCCTTTGCCATTACTCAACAGGGTATGAAAATGGGTGAGTGAGGAAGATGACAGCATTCTTAGTGAACCTCCCCCTACCAAAAACTTGGCTATTTGCAAAGAGTTCAATTGTTCATGAAATAACTGACTTTAGGATAGCTATGGTCACTGCTGCTGTGGATAACCTGCAATGCACAAGTGCCAAGCGCAAGCAGCATGGCCTAAGGTCTGATCACTGTGCTGGTCTGCTGACCTCACAGGCAGTCATGAACTGTAAGTTTGATAATCCTCTACCCACAGAGAGGATTATAGTCTTTGCAGCTGAAGATGGAGAAGCTCTATACAGTCAGCAAAAACAAGACCTGGAGCTGACTATGTCTCAGATAATCAGTTCCTTATTGCAAAATTCAGGTTTAAGTTGAAGAAAGTAGGGAAAACCACTAGGCCATTTGGGTATGACCTAAATTAAATCCTTTATGATTATACAGTGGAGGTGACAAATAGATTCAAGGGATCAGATCTGATAGACAGAGTACTTGAAGAACTATGGGCAGAGGTTTGTAACACTGCACAGGAGGTGTTGACCAAAACCATCCCCTCAAAAAGAAATGCAAGAAGGCAAAGTGGTTGTCTGAAAAGGACTTACAAATGGCTGAGAAGAGAAGCAAAAGGCAAAGGAGAAAAGGAAAGATATACTCAATTGAATGCAGAGTCCCAGAGAATAGAAAGGAGAGATAGGAAAGCCTTAAGTGAACAATGCAAAGAAATAGAGGAAAACAACAGAATGGGAAATACTAGAGATCTCTTCAAGAAAACTGGAGATACCAAGGGAAAGATGGGCACAATAAATGACAGAAATGGCAAGGACCTAACAGAAGCAGAAGAGATTAGAAGAGGTACCAAGAATATACAGAACTGTACAAAAAAGGTCTGAATGATTCAGATAACCATGATGGTGTGGTGACTCACCTGGAGCTAGATATCGTGGAATGTGATATCAAGTGGGCATTAGGAAGCACTACTACAAACAAAGCTAGTGGATGTACCAAAAAACAAAGTTAGTGGATATGATGGAATTCCAGCTGAGCTATTTCAAATCCTAAAAGAGGATGCTGTTAAAGTGCTGCACTCAATATGCCAGCAAATTTGGAAAACTCAGCAGTGGCCACAGGACTGGAAAAGGTCAGTTTTCATTCCAATACCAAAGAATGTTCAAACTATCATACAATTTGCTCATTTCACATGCTAGCAAGGTAATGCTCAAAATCCTTCAAGATCGGCTTCAACAGTATGTGAACTGAGAACTTCCAGATGTACAAGCTAGATTTAGAAAAGGAAGAGTAACCAGAGATCAAATTGCCAACATCTGTTGGATCATAGAAAAATCAAGGAAATTCCAAAAACCCCACCTACTTCTGCTTCATTGGCTACACTAAAGCCTTTGGCTGTGTGGATCACAACTGAAAAATTCTTAAAGTGATGGGACTACCAGACCACCTTACCTGCCTCCTGAGAAACCTGTATGCAGGTCAAGGAGTAACAGTTAGAACTGAACATGGAACAATGGACTGGTTCCAAATCAGGAAAGAGTATGTCAAGGCTGTATACTGTCATCCTGCTTATTTAACTTATATGCAGAGTACATCATGTGAAAAGCCACACTGGATGAATCACAAGCTGGAATCAAGATTGCTGGGAGAAATAACAACCTCAGATACACAGATGATATAACTCTAGTGGCAGAAAGTGAAGAGGAACTAAAGAGCCTCTTGATGAAGGTGAAAGAGCAGAGTGAAAAAGCTGGCTTAAAACTCTAATTGAAAAACTAAGATCATGGCATCTAGTCCCATCACTTCATGGCAAATAGAAGGGGAAAAAGTGGAAACAATGACAGATTTTATTTTCTTGGGCTCCAAAATTACTGCAGACTGTGACTGAAGACAGAAAATAAAGACACTTCTTGGAAGGAGAGTTATGACAAACCTAGACAGTGTACTAAAAAGCAGAGACAGTACTTTGTCAACAAACATTTGTATAGTCAAAGCTATGGTTTTTCTTGTAGTCATGTATGGATGTGAGAGTTGGACCATAAAGAAGGCTGAGTGCCAAAGAATTGATACTTTAAATTATGGTACTAGAGAAGCCTTTTGAGAGTCCCTTGGACAGCAAGGAGATCAAACCAGTCAATCCTAAAGAAAATCAATCCTGAACATTCATTGGAAGCTGAAGCTCTAATACTCTGGCCACCTGATGTGGAGAGCCAACTCATTGGAAAAGACCCTGATGCTAGGAAAGACTGAAGGAGAGAGGAGAAGGTTCAACAGAGAATAAGATGACTGGATGGCAACACCGACTCAATGGACATGAGTTTGAGCCAACTCTGGGAGATTGTGAAGGACAGGGAAGCCTGGTGTGCTGCTGTCCATGTTATCACAAAGAGTCAGAGATGACTTAGAGACTGAACAACGATAGCAACAATACAGTTAGGAAGGAAGCTGCCCTTCTCCCTTTTTCTCCTCCCTCACCATTAGATTCTATACCACACTGTCTTCATTCCTTGATACTATTTCTCTATCTCAAGTCTTACAAAAGAGACTGAAGAATGCATGACCTGACAGAGAAAGCAAAAAACAGAGCCCACTTTCCTGGAGAGGAATCAATGGTCCCAGGCTGTAGCTCTCAGGGAGGTGCAAAGTGTCGAGGCCTTGCTTGCCAGGAGGGAGATGATCAGCTACACAGGGAAGCAGGGTCAGGCCGAGGGAGCAGGTGCCATCAGAGCAGATCTGAAGTCATGTCATGAGGGAATGAGGGATCTGAGTAGCATCGTGGGGCTAGGCATGTTTCAGAAGCAGGACACAGATGGAAAGAGACCTTGAGGGCCCTTTAGGTTTAGCAGGATGTGGCAGTGGCAGGGCAACTGAGTCTTCAGCAAGTGAAAAATCTTCATGCAGTGGGCAGAAGCTGCAGGTGAGGCTCCTGAAAAAAGCCAGGGAGTTCACCACATTTCCCATATCTTCTGATTGGTTATCAACTTTTTCTAGATCTCTCATTCTTACCCCAAGTCCCAGATTCCAAGTTATCAGATCAAATGTGGAAGGAGAATACACAAACCTCTTACTGCTACTTCCTTGCTGGAACCAAGGATGATTGTAGGGATAGGGTTTTGATGTCAGCTAGAACTTTGGACTTTATTTCCAATATAAGTTATGCCTCAGAGATATTTGTGGGCCCTCTTTGGGTCTCAGCATTACCCCTAGGATGTGAGATTCTTTTCTCTCAACTGTGGTGCTCCTCCATAAGACAGGAACTCAAGCAGCAATATCCTTGCAGCTAGATCACCATATAGCCACACTTGCACTGGGAACCATTACTAAACACTGAGTACTGGCACAAAAGCAGACAAGCATCCTGACTGGCTTGTCAAAACTTTGAGCTAACAGTCATGCCCTGATGCACCCACATTGTTTACTCTCTTCTAGAAATCTAGAATCAATAGACCTCTCCTACAACAAGCTCTACCATGTCCCCTCCTATCTACCCAAGTCGCTGCTGCACCTCGTACTCATTGGGAACCAGATCGAACGCATCCCTGGCTATGTGTTTGGTCACATGGAACCAGGCCTGGAATACCTGTACCTGTCATTTAATAAGCTTGTGGATGATGGCATAGACCGAGTCTCCTTCTATGGAGCTTACCATTCTCTGCGAGAGCTGTTTCTGGATCATAATGAATTAAAATCTATACCACCTGGGGTACAAGAAATGAAAGCACTACATTTCCTGAGACTGAACAACAACAAGATAAGGTAAATTTTGACTTTCTCAAGTATCCATTTAAATTGTCACGGGTGACAAAATATGATTAAATTACCATGACATAATGTCTGGAATTTAAAGAAAAAGTGGCAAGAGGTTGCATCAAACAACACTGGCACATTTAATGATTGTTGAAGTTGGATGATAATAAGTACATAAGGATTCATTATAGTTTTTCCCCTACTTTTCTATGTTTGCAAACTTCCATGTAAAATTTTTAAAAAATAGAGTATGACTACATAATACCTAGAATCTTAGAGACATTTTCAAGTGAGACTTCAAGGTCGAAGATTATGGTGCTGTTCCAACCTCCATACGTGATTTCAAACACACTGATCTGTGGAGCACAAAACCTAAGTGTATGCTAACATTAAAATTGCTTGCTTCTATCTAGATTTTTCTGAAAACAAAATCCTGAAAACATTTATTAAAACTCAGTTTCTTCACTTCTGAGGACACATTTTTCTGTGTGTGTTCTGTTTGCTGACTGAGTCATCCCCTCTGCTTATAAAGTATGGATGTCTCAAGATTAATCTGGGACACTTTCTTAGTGCAGCCAATGAGGACGACAGATCCTTGAGCTCTGTGGTCCTGTCTTTGAAGATTATATTCTTTATTCTTTTACCTAACTCTAAAATTCCAAACACAAACTTCTAAAAGATAAAACAGAGAGTCAAGTTTATAGGGGAAGTGGTGGGGATGGGGAGGGCTTTATAATCAGAGTATAAATTTTTTGGCTAAGATAATCCCTAGGTTGTGCCATATGGTTCTTATTGTATTTTATCAGGAGGCATAAAATATCCCACTTCTGGTGGGATACAAGTGGCAATGGTATGATATCTCCATCATAACCTTTCTCCTCCACCACTGAACCAATGGTTTTTTTTAACTCATGATGACACTTGCTTGCATCTGTTATTTCCTTCGGGGTAACAAAAAAGGTGAATTTCTATTTTTGTCATTCTTTCCACATTTATTAAATGGAATTCCTCTGTAACCTGGAGAAGGGAATGGCAACCCACTCCAGTATTCTTGCTGGGAGAATCCCATGGACAAAGGAACCTGATGGGCTGTAGTCCATGGGTTGCAAAGAATCAGACACGACTGAGTGACTAAGCACATTCCTCTGTAAATAATATTTTCTTATCAGCAAGGGCAAGTTCTTTACTCTGAGAGGTAAGATAAACGCTCAGTTCTTTCCTTTAAATTGCCCATCATGGTAAGAAGCTGGTTACAAATTTGTAACTATGTGAGGTGATGCATATTAACTTATGGTGGTGATCATTTCAACCAAAAACACATACACACACACACACACACACACACACACACACACATACATCTAATCATTATGTTGTATACTTGAAACTAATACAATGTCATGCCAATCTTATCTTTATAAAATTGTAAAAAATTATACATATGCATTAACCATGGATGAAAAAGACTATAAAAGACTTAAAAAATTTGATAGTGACTGTCTCAGGAAAAAAAAAAAGAAGTTGCTGCCTGAATATTTTTGTTTTATTACTTTGTTTCTGGCCTTCTCTCTTTCTCTGGAGACTCAATATGAATTTATGGCTTTATATATTAAGAATGTTTCCATCAGTTGCAACTGCTGTTCTTAACTGTCTCATCTTCAGCTGAGCTCCTTTGAACTGGCTCCTGAGTCCTTGGACAGGCCTCCATAGATCTTGGATGGCTCACTTTTACATTCCCCACTACAGACCAATGCCAGCCTTCTTCCAAAAAGCCCTAGCTCCTCTCACTGGGGAATAGTGTTCAGAGGCCCCAGTCTGGGCACCAGGCATCTTCCTTTTAAATGTATTTTTAGTCTCAAGGCCTTTCAGTGGACTGCCAGAAATATGCATTTTTGTTAAAAAAGAACAAAAACAGTTCATACTGATATTCCCAAATCAAATTTACCATTATAGGCTGATGTATGGTGGAGGCCAATACACTATTGTAAAGCAATTATCCTCCAATTGAAAAAAAAAAAAAGCAAAAGCAAAAAAAAAATTACCATTATAGAGAAATCCTTCTGATGTAGACTTATCTTAAACTGAAAATCTAGGTTTCCAACAATAACTTACATTTATTACCTTACAACATGTAAACCTATTTTGTAAGGTAATAAATGCATACCATTATTACGACTAACAGCAAAAGTATTTAATTACGTTTATTATGTTTTTGGTAGTTCTATTTGTCCTTTGAATATGTTCCATGGAGTATGTATAGCTTAAGCACAGTAGTTTTCTCTGTAACAGTATGTCAACAATTTAATATTCAGATAGGTCTTTAGTTTGCTTTCAGTTCAGTTGCTCAATCGTGTCCAACTCTTTGCAACTCCATGGATTGCAGCACACCAGGCTTCCCTGTTCATCACCAACTCCCGGAGCTTGCTCAAACTGATATCCATCAAGTCAGTGATGCCATCCAACCATCTCACCCTCTGTCATCCCCTTCTCCTCCTGCCTTCAATCTTTCCCAGCATCAGGGTCTTTTCTAATGAGTCAGTTCTTCACATCAGGTGGCCAAAGTACTGGAGTTTCAGCTTCAGCATCAGTCCTTCCAATGAATATTCAGGACTGATTTCCTTTAAGACTGACTGGTTTGCTCTTGCAGTCCAAGGGACTCTCAAGAGCCTTCTCCCACACTACAGTTCAAAAGTTTTTTAGGAATTGCTACTTTCTACAAAATATTTTTCTATGCCTATTCCTTATACTGTATTCCATCCTTCTCCTTTGATTAAATTTTTAAATTAATTTCCTGTTGATGATTCCAGTGTTATTTTTGAAACTGCTAAGCATACACATTCATATTCCATACCCCCTCAGAATTATTATATAAATTATCATACAGAAGTATTATTCTTCTGTGAAATAAGCAGAATAAGTACTATTCTTTTCTCTCTTTTCTAGTCTTTACTTTAAAAAATTTTCAGTATATCCTGAATATCACTCCATATCAGTAAGTAGAAAATTTCCTCTTTCCTTTTAACAACTGAATAGTACTATTAGGTGGGAACTTTATTTAACCAGTTTCTTACTGATAGACATTTGATTGTTTTCACTTCTTTATACTATAAATAATGTCACAATGTGTAACTCTGTTCAAATATAATTTTGTATTTCCCAATCTAACTTTGGGATAAATCCCTAGAAACGGAATTGCTGAGTGAAAGGAATAAAATGAATATGTAATTTTGCTACATACTGCCAGATTCCTTTCCATGGGGCTGAACAGTTATGAATTCCCTTCAGTGATGCTTGATCCTATACAACTTTATCATCAGAACATGTGAATGAGCTTTGATTTGTTCTGTGGGGAGGTGGAAAAATCTGATAAGTGAGAGTGGCATGCCAGTATCATTTCAATTTAATTTTTCTTGTCATAAATGAAATTAAGCATCCTTTTATGTTCACATGTCATTTCATTTTCTCATCTGTAAACTTGTTACCAGGTATCTTTTTTTTTCTGATTTCTCTAGCCTCCTAGACTTTTAGGTCTTTGTAAAGTAGCCCTTTATTTAAGTTGCAAACACTTTCTCCTACTTTGCGATTTGTCTTTTACCTTTGCATTAAAAAAAAAAACTGTAGCCAATTTTTTAATCTTTTCTTCTAGTGCTTCTGGTTTCTGAGTCACACATAGGAAGATTTCTCCCTCCCTACTGGGGTATAACCATGCTTTATTCTATCACTTCTATGACTTTATTTTTTCATATGTAGATCTTTGATTATTTGGAATTTTTTCTTGTAATAAGACAAGGATCCAATTTTATTTTAACTCCTAAATTATGAAGGTGGAATATTACTTCAATCCTTTATGACCTGCATGTCTATTTTTCCTTAGGAATATTCTTCCAGAACAAATTTGCAATGCTGAAGAAGATGATGATTCGACCCTGGAACATCTTCATCTTGAAAACAACTACATTAAAACAAGAGAAATATCATCCTATGCATTTTCATGCATAAGATCATATTCAAGTATTGTTCTTAAACCACAAAATATCAAGTAACTCCAAGTTTTTGTCACTTGTAAATAATACTCATATATCTGATTTAGTAGCATTTTCCTCAATAAGAGATATAATGTCATATTAAAATGTCATTATGCTAGTCAACCTGATTCACCACTGCACAGGACAACTAAACACATATGTACAAGGTTTAGTCTTTAACAGTTTTAGTGAAGCTCTCAGTTTCACACTCTAGAAACAAGCCATCTTGTTGCAAACCTTTCTCACAAGAATAGGATGCTGTGTGCTGCTGAAGTAGACGGGAGAGAATCTGCAAATAAATACGCCCTTTACAACAGACCACAGAATTTCTATTAGCTAAGAACTCCCTAAGTCTCTTAAAAAAGTATGTGTGTTATGGTTCAAGACCAAGAAGTGGATGGCTGGAAAAAATAATAGCTAGAATTTATGAACTAATGTTCTGTTTATTATTCTGTTAAAGCAAAAATTTATTAATTTTCTATAAGTAATTAAGACCCTATAATACAATTATTGATATAAATAAACTTAATCATTGGCTTAGCTTTAGTTCCTTCTATTAATTAGATGAATAGAATTAAAATATAATTACTATAAAGTTAATTTCCTGGTCTTGAGAATTATACTATGGTTAAGTATGTGCTTATTAACATTAGGGAAAGCTGGGAGAAGGGTATATGTGAATTCTGTATGATTTTTGTAATTTCTCTGTAAGTCTAAAAAGTTTAACAGTATTTTAAGATCACCCTCATAATTATTTGCTCAATCAAAAGATTTATGGAAAGCAGCGGAGTTTGCTTAAAATATAAGTTAACTACCCTTGACTAAACCTTGTAAATATAAACCTAATGCATACATTTAAAAAACTTTTGCCTCTCTGGTCATTGTTAACATCTCTTATCTTTGACCTAATTTGCTCAAATGTATCTTTTTACTCAATATAACATATAGCTATCAGTATTCATTATGTAGTAGATCCTAACAAAATCATATCATATATTAAAATTTTCATTATATAATGATATCTTACCTTTATTTCTAAAATAATTTGTAAAAGACACATATAGAAACCATGTTGATTTTTCTTGTTACTCTCAGTTTTGTACCCTGAAAAAACACCAGATTAGGAACTTAATTTCTAATCTTGGCCCTGTTGGGCAGATTACTCTAATTTTTCAAACTTTAGTTATTTAATCTTTTAATCGTTCTCCCACAATTCTGAGAGCCTTTCAGCCCCACTTCACAGAGCTGTTACGAGAACCAGAGAAGAATAAAATATTTGGGAAGTGTGATATGCATAGTGAGTATACTTAATATTGCCAAGCTTTCATATAAAATTGATAGTAAACAGCATATTCAATCAAAGTTGATTATTACTTGGGCAGCTTTCAAGATGTAGAAGTTTGATTTACCCCATTTAAGATAATGTTATTTCTAAGCCCCCTTTCTTAACATATAGGCTTTTGAGATCACAAAATGAACAAGAATAATAATATGATACAGACTGTTAGAATCAAGCATCAAAGGCTTAAGCCAGGTGGTTAAGAAGAGAAATAAAATCTTATGGAACAAAAAGTTGAGATTTATAACCAGTTTAGATATGTAGAAGCTTTACTAACTTAAACTGGCCAAGTTGAATGAAAAGAGACAAATAACAGGAAGATATGGGTATTTGTTTAACTTAACAAGAAGCTTTGTGCTGTTTGAATATAAATGCATCAATGTAAATGATTTAAAGCAACTTAAACAGTAAACAAGATTACAGTCAGAGGGGACTCAAACCAAATAAAGTGAGTCAAAAGAATCAGAATCCTAGACAACAGAGATGAATACTGAAGCATTCTTGCATTAATTTGTCATTCTGATTTTAATCAGATGTGTCCCAGATGCTGTTTTAGAGAGAAAGGGATGAAGAGATCAGATGAGGTCTCTGCTCTCTGGGAATGTGTGGTGTTTTACGGCCATAAGCAGGAGATCAAACAGACAATCAAATCAACAAGTCAAGTGTGATGAAATCAGTACAACAGGGTGGTGATGTAATAAAGTATGTTGGGGTCCCAAGGCCCCTCTGCCTAGGCCTAGGGGTATTCCCAGATTGTGGGTCTCTAGAGTGTGCAAATAGCAAAAGCTGCAATAAGACACTGCAATCCCCAGAAGGCTTGGAGTAACACTAGACCCAGGCACACACTGAGACCCTAATGTGCACTGAGATACACCCTGTTGGGAGAAGAATCTCTAGAAAGGTGAAAAATCAGAATGACTGATGGAAGCTTTGTTCTTAAGTTGGAAGATGTTTTTAATTCTACTGATTATATAACTTAAAATAAGAAATATATCTAGTATTGAACTTGTTTGCTTTGAAACTTTATAATGCCCTGGATAGAAGCTTTAATTTCATTTTTTAAAAGTGATAAATGTCCATATAGCAAACACCGTTCATGATATATAATGTTTATATAATGTATAACAAAGAGGTGTTCTGTTTGGCTTCAGAAGTATACTGTAATTACTAACACAGATGTATACTAAGGAAATCCTGGCCCACTCATGGTCTGAAAATATTTAATAGCGTGTCATCTTTGCATATATGTACAGGATATACTAACTATACTTTCAATTTTGAGATTTGGCTTATTGTAGATTAAGGTATTTCAAAAAGCATTAAAGATATGATGTAGTTAAAGAAACCTATAGCCTAGAATTATAAGGAAATAATTACACCAAGAATCAGGACATCTGGGTACCCATCTTGGTCTTCAGTAATTATGCAGTCATTTTACTTTTCTGAGATCACTTGATTCAACTGCAAAATAGCATTCTTGGAACACATCAATGGTTTTCAAGCATGGCTCATTAGGACTTCATGGTGCCCTGGGGAGGAAGCGTCCTTGAGAGAGGAAGTACACAGACTCCCTTCAGACAAAACAGCTTTGCTACCATCAGAAAGGGTTAGCTGACACTGTTCCTGTCTGCCTCCCCAGCTCCCCTTATGTCTTGAAACCAATAGACGAGGTACTATAAATCACACATCAAGTTATAAAAGCCATAAAGAACATTCAGCCAAAGTTCCTAGTCCTCCTCAGCTCCTCCTATACTTTTCAGAGAACTTCACTGGAGAGCTTTGGCCTGAAGAAACATTTCTGTTACAAGGATTACAGCTGCCTGAACAGAGCCAACCTCTGGGTATGCCAGGACAAGGAAGCTTAGTAGATGTGTCTGTTCCTTTGGAGCTCCAGCACCATAGTGGGAATCAGCCCTGAGCACCTCTGCCACAACTGAAGACTGCTGACCTCTGACCTAAAACACCCTGAAAGGCAGTTAGCGTTGAGTGCATGTTCTATGGGATGGGTACAACGTGGCAGTGCTGCTGCATGCACAGATTGGGATCACATCTTTGTCTCTGCCAGACTGCGTGACTCCCTATGGAGCAGGCAGGTTAGGAAGCCCCCAGCATCCTGAGGGTGAATGTGCGGCACTTGGGAACAACAGGGAGTATGTGACTGAGCCTGGACTTAACATGCATCTGCTGAATGCAGTCCTGAAAGTGGAAAGTCTGGACACCTGAGAGTGGGCAGGTGCACCCATAAATCTGAGGGTGCAGGGCGGCTGGTTTGGCAGGTGCTGTCAACAGGATTGAGAAGATACAACACTGTCTCCTTGGGCTTTTACTGTCAAGTGACTCTACAGACATCCCTTAGGAATTGGGCTTGAGAGGTTAAAGTTAACTATTCCTAGGGATGACTTCTTCTATTAACATGGAAAACACCACCCACAACACGAGTTGAAATTTGCCTCTAGTCCACATTGACACCACTAAGAGCAGTAAGGTTGATTGCCTCATTCACACAGAAGAATGATTATTCGAGTAACTGTTCAAACTGTGTAGTCAAAACCTTTAAGTTCACTGGAAAGTGTTAATAAACTATAATGCTTGTCTCAAGATAATTTTAGATTTGGTATATGGAAATTTAGCCACAGACGATGGGTATATAGCTAAATTAGGATAAAATCCCCAATTTTTACTGGTGCCACAGAGTGCTATAGACAAAAATGGTTTTCCTGAATTGACAAATTTAGATTAGGAGTAATAAAGAAGTCGGTGGTATATATGGTATAGGAAATAACTAGTACTGGCTTTGGAGGAGAAAAGATCTGTAGGCTTAAACTAGGGCTTGAAATTTGAATCAGTTGAGGGGAAAGGAATAACTGACTGAAACAAATAGGCATGAGCCAAGCATAGTTGAGGTTCACCAGCGGAGGAGAGACCATACAGGAAATAAGAGGCTTGGGATGGCTTGGAAGGCCCATAGGAGGAGACCATGCTTACTGCAATGAGAAATATAGGACACCACCAAAAAACTCTGAAGAGAGGTGTATGAAAGTAATGAAGGGAAAAGAGCCACCATTCTAATAATCTAGAAATAGAATAAGAGGGACCCACTCAGCATAGGTGACAGGAGGAACAAGCAGAAACAGGGATAGGTATGACAGAGACTTGAAAGGAAGAAAAAAAAATTGCTGGAGATTAAGTCTGAAGGCAAGCTTGCCATATTTGTCATCTTCTGAGGGGCTCAATCTCAGAAGGACATTATGAACCATGAATAATTGAGAATATGCATGCGTGCATGGCAAGTTGCTTCAGTCGTGTCCAACTCTTTGTGACCCTATGGACTGTAGCCTGCCAGGCTCCTCTGTCCATGGGATTCTCCAGGCAAGAATACTGGAATGTCTTGCCATGGACTCCTCCAGGGGATCTTCCTGACCCAGGGATTGAACCTGTGTCTCCTGCATCATAGGCAGATTCTTTATCACTGAGCCACCGGGAAGTCCAATAGAGAATATATTAAAAATAAAATGAACTGATTGAAGGGAGGGGACATGTGCATACCTATGGCTGATTATGTTGATGTATGGCAGAAACCAATTCAAAATTGTAAAGCAATTATCCTCCAAATAAAAATAAATAAATTTTAAAAAATGAACTGACTGATTGTAAAAAGGAAGAGAAGAAAAGAAAAAAGAAAAGGGAAGTAGTGATCTACCATGCAAGGGATACAAAGAAGAGAAAAGAAGATAAAAAGGAGAATTTCTCTGAGTCTCAGTGATGCTGCTGAGAAAGAGACAGTTTGGGTGAGAATATGCTGAAGTTTGGAGGTGTCACCATGGAATTTAGGCAGGAGGACGGGAATGCACTCAGCTGGAGGGGAATCTGAAGGAAAGGTTACAATGAGGAGTGGATGAAGAGAAGGGCAGAAGCAGAACCCTAATGGGTACCAACTTTCAATTTCAAGGGGAATAAGTTTACTATATGGCTGCATCTGACTTGAGCCATATGATCTGACCTCAAGGAGCTTCCAAGGCACAAGGCAAGCTGTGTCTAGAAGACCAGCTCCTCAGGAAGTGACTCCTCCCTTCGGTACTTGGCATCTGTCTCACCAACCTCCTGACAGACAGGTGCGGTATTATGAGTTAGGTCTGCACTGATTATTTATTCACAATGTAGGATGTTGTACAATAGATTGGTAGAAGGTATATCATGTTTTCCTAAAAGATTGTAAAACTTAAAATAAGAGACAATTCATTTCTTGAATCCCTATATTCTGTGTATAGAGTACGTACTAATAGAACTGTTGATCCCTCAGTTTAAACGATCAGCTCATGAGTTGTCCAAAGTTGACATTAATACTACCCCTAAACAAAACAAAAAGAAATGTGCAAAATTTAAGGATTTTTAAAGGAAAAGTGATAAAGATTTATATACAGTCATATAATTAGTAAGGAATAATTTCTTATTAATATTCTCTAACATGGACATTAGAAGGCAGAGTATATTTTATAAAAAAATAAGTCATGCTTTGACAACTGATTGTTCTCCATAACAGCAATACTGACAATGTTTTCCAAAGCCATCATTTAAACAACATGAATTACTAGGTTCATAGATGCTGACATGAAAGAATAAAATACTCAAGTTTTGCTGTTTAAGTGAAACCTCAAAGGACTGGGTAAACCCTCTATGATATCTATTTCACCTCTTTCCCTTATTTAGAAAACAGAAAGTTTCCTCATAGGAGAAGTATTTACAAATTGGTAATGACTGAATTATTCATCTGTCCATAGTTTAATATGAATTCAACTTAAAATTCAAAAATATTAAAAGCATTTTGGAGTTGCAAAGAGTTGCACATGACTGAGAGAGTAACACACACACACGTATGAAAATAGATGTTTCTGGCCAGCTCTCACCTATACCAGATGATGCCTGGGGGCCTTAAACCCTAGAAGTCTATGATAAATGAAGTTCATCTCTTGCAATGAAAAAACAAGAACGAGTATCTTGGGTCTGAAACTGGAATCCTTATTAGCTGTGGACATGGTCAAGTTATTTAGACTCTGATTTCCAGTTTCCTTGCCCATGATATTGAGGAGAGTATCTGCCTCCCAGGGCATCTGTGAAGGTTAAATAAGGTGATGTCCACAACAGTACTGAGCACAGGGTGGACGTCAGATGTCTCTCCATTCCTTCAAGGATAGGTGCTGGGAACCCAGAAGGTAGGAAAGTTTGGTGACTTATTCAAGGCTGCCAGGTCTCATAATGTGGTAGATATTAGTAATTTAAGGAAACGATTCCTTAGATTGTGATACATACTGGAGAAGGGAATGGGCCTCTTACAGTAGAGCAGGGGTCAGACAATGCTCTCTATAGAGGGCTGGGCTCATGGGGGACCCTGCAGCCACGTCAGCAGCTCTCTTGAGCTTGGGGGCCTCTGTGCTATGTCACTGCACGCTAACATCCATTGCACAGAGTGGAATGAAACCAGCTTAGAACATGTTATAAATGCAGTGTGAAACCAAAACTCAAAGAATCTAAACTACTTATTGTCATAGATATGGGAGTAGATGAGAAGATTAAAAAAATCCTGATTATAGGAAAGAAAAGTAATTTTGACTTACAAGTGTGATTTACTATAATAACATAAAACTAAAAAAAAAAAAAAAAAAGGAGAANGGAGGGGGGACTGGGATGGGGAATACATGTAAATCCATGGCTAATTCATATCAATGTATAACAAAAACTACTGTAATGATGTAAAGTAATTAGCCTCCAACTAATAAAAATAAATGGAAAAAAAAAATAAAAGTATTGGCAAGACAATGGAGATAAAAAAAAAAAAATAGCCAAACGAGAAGACTACTTGATCAATAAACCTGTCCTGCAGATGGATTCCTACTGCAGAGGTAATCCGCAAGTGGGTCTCCAGGGATATAGTAAGAGTCTGCATGGAAGCCTTGGCCAGGTGCAGCATGCTCTGGGCAGATGGTCCTGGGGTGTTTAAGTATTAATTATTCTTGTGACATCAGCTCTGATTAAACCTACTGCAACAGACCCAGAGGCATTGGTGAAAGACTTTTAGAGGAACTAAAATCTATGTAAATAGTGTAGTTATGTGTTAGTGTACATTTCATCCTATATGTCTTAAACAACACTTTGGCATATTATAAAATATTACTGACATGTCTTTGCTTCAACATGAACAGGAACAGTTGAAACTATGTCACATTGAAATTTGGTCTGTCACAGGCTGTTATTTGCAAAGAGGTGAATATTTCTAATTAGATTAATAGAGCTTAGTGATTACACAACTAAAGAATAAATGGCATGATTATTTCTTCTTTGACATTATGT